TTGAACTAGGCGCAGAACCAATAGACAGTAAGTCAAATTTGACCTCTCCAGATCAGTCCAAGATGTATAAAAACACTTGCTGTTTTTGTTCAAGTGTAACAGGTAGAATCTGTGTTCATCAATACACACCATTATCTGGGGCAGTTCTAGCACCCCAAAGTTTTTTCTCATGCCCATTCACAACTAGCGTCATGGTTTTTGCAGCCATAACCACTGCTCTGTGGTCTTCACTGTTGGTCCTGAACTTCCCACAATGGTTTTATACAGTGTGTACCCCTCTATTCACCCCTTGGCCTTTCTTAGGTCTGTGAAGCATACAGTACTAATTTGCCTTTGTCTTTGCTGGGTATCACAACTCTGTATGAATGTACCACAGCTTAGCATTGGATTATCTGGGTGATTCGTAGTTTAGAACTATTACACACAAGTTTGCTATAAACAATTTGTTAAACATGATAGTGCATACCAGTGTGTACCCAGCAATGGCACTGTTAGGTCACGAGGTGTTTGTTACATATTTTGCTTTAGTAAGTGGTAGTTGTCTAGAATCCTTACACTAATTTACACTGTCACCAGAAAAAATTCTATTAATCCTAGTCGTTTTACATTATCACAGTACTTGTTGTTTTCAGGTATGATCAATTTATTGATACCTGATATCAGAGACTGATACCTGAGAGTCCTTCTCTATAACAAGGGGACCAATGGCTAATTGATAATGCCCACAGAACTTTTCACCAGGAGATAAGTATTTCCACTTTTTTTATATATGACCTCTGCCCTTCTCCTTGTTCTGTTCATATTAGAGAGTAAACTCCACAGTAGCATGGACTTTGGTGCTATATTGTCAGCTAGACCTGATAAAAGGTGGTGTTAAAAAAATTGATGACTGAGTAACTTATAAAGAAATTACATGTCTTACTTCTATGAAAGTTGATAAATTCTGTAACTCTGGATTTATAACCTTTCCATAATGAAAATATTAAAATTTTGGATAACGATTTACATAGAGATAACTGCCACATTTTATAATATTTATAACATTTTTATAATCACACTGAATTGGAAGTAGTCTAAATATTTAATGATTAATCATCAGCCATTAATGTACATTAATGATTAATGCAATGAGGTACATGATATTCAGAAATACTATGGGGCTCTTTAGTAATTTCAAAGACTATATACCACCTGCTGGTATGGACTCCCCAACTACATTAGAAGAACTATACTCTCATGTGTGTGAGAGTTTGTGTTTAGGAAGGGAAAGAGGGCACTTACATTTATGGAGTAAGAGAGAGGGTGTTAGCAGTCTTTCTGAGTGATAAACTAAAAAATGAATTATTTTCCTTATATTTTTCTGTATTTTCTCAAACAAGCATAAGTTTTCATTAGGTAAACAGTATTTTTTTTTTTTTTACAAAATTATTTGGAACTCTGGCAACAATGGAGCAGGCCAATTTCTCCCAGCTCCCCACATCTCTAACTAAAACTCTGAAATGCAAACATATGGTATATTTTGTTTAAAGGAAACCTTGGATTGGAAGGAACAACCCTGCTAGGTTTCCTTATTATTTTCCACACAGACCCCAAAATATAGTTCTATAGGCCTTCTTCATTTGGATCTGCCAATGGGCACATATTCAAAAAGAAAAGAACCAGCAATTCACAAAATGAGTTAGAAGTACTGCTTTCTCTTTTTGGAAGGGTTTGAAAATGATGGGTATGTGTTCTTTTTTTATAAATGTTTCATAAAATTCTCCCATGATAACATCTGGCCTTGGGCTTTTCTCTGATGGGAGTATTTTCATGACTGATTCAGTCTCCTCTCCTGTAATAATACACTATACAGAATTTCTGCTTATTTATAATTCAGCCTTGGTAGAGTGTAAGTTTCTAGAAATGCATCCATTTCTTACAGATTATCCATTCTGGCATATAATTATTCAAAGTAGTGTCACATTTGCCTTTGTATATCCATGACAGTGCCTGTAATTCTCTTTCATTTCTAGTTTTATTATGAATAACTTCTCTCTTTTGTGGTCACTCTAGATTTTAAAGAATTCTCTCTACCTTAAAAAAAATTCTTAGTTTTCTTTACATTTTTCAAATTTTATTCTGTCATTTAACTTCTATTGTTCTTTTTCCCCCTTATTTTACTGTGTGATGAGCTTCTTTTTCTAGTCCCTGAGGTGTATAGTGATATCGCTCACTTGAGATTGTTTTCTTCACGTACGCATTTGTGATGTGCCCCCGAGGGACGATGTGATGGTATTTGGGATTCCTTGGGAAATGCACTTCTAGGTCTGTCTGTGAGGGCATTTCCAGAGTGGGCAGCTGAGGGAGGAAGATTGGTCCAAATGGCCAGCACCTTCCCACAGATGGTCCAGATGCAAAGAAGTCCAGTGGAAAAGCACCACAAGCCTGCATGCCTTTGCTCCTTCTTGAGTGGGCGTGTCTGCCATCGTTGCTGCCATCATCCACTGACAGAACATTCCTGCTTCTTTACCCTGTCTATGTGTGCTCAATACCATGACTCTGCAGGCCGCTGGCACCAAATCGGAGCTACGACGGCATCCAGCTCCATGGATAAGCAGCTTCCAGGTACAGCCTCTCTAGCATTTGGACAGCCAAATCAGGTAAGCCAATCTAATAAACCCCTTTTTTACAGTTCATAAACACTCCATGGGTTCCATTCCTCCAGATAGCTCTACCCAGAATAGCATTTATCACTATAAAAATTCTTCTTAGAACTGCTTGTGTTGCATCCCGTGAATTCCATTGTGTTCTGCTTCCATTTTTCTGTCTCAAGACATTTCTTAATTTGCTTTTAAAGGATAAAAGCAAAAAAAAAATTACACCTGACATCATAATTAATAACAGAAAACTCAGGCTCCGCCTGTCAGATCAGGAACAAAACAAGGTGACAAAGTTTGCTGCTCAAAAAGTATTGGAAGTCCTAGCCATAGTAACTAGATAAGAGAAAGAACAGAAAACACTGAAATCATAAAAGATTGATAAACAGCCCACAGTTTGTGGATTAGAGGAAACCTAAAGACTTTACCCCTGGAAAACTATAACGAATAAATAAATTTGGAAACTGCAGAATGAAAAGTCCACGTAAGAAGTAATATTTTTGCATGCCAACAATGACCTGTCCATGAAACACTGTTTGTCTGACATCTATTGTAGAATGACTCTTGACACTGTCATAACACAAAGCTGATGTGGCAGATGGCTAGGAATAGTATCTCAAGGAAGACGCAAAGACGAAAAATTTGTGAACATTAAATAGAACCACAACAATAGAAGAACATAGGTACAAACCCCAATCACACCTATAAAAGAACTAAAAATAGTAACAGTAAATGCTTACAAATATTAGGGGGAAATGAATACATCTCTAGTGTGAAATAAAAAAAAAATAATAATCCAGAGTTGGGGAGATGCCTCACCATTGGAACAAAACACATAAAATGTATTCAAAAGCTCTTTGTATCATTTCTTACAACTGCATGTCAATATGTGATTATCTCAGAATAAAAATAACTTTAAATCATGTACCCAAAGAGAAAACAGAAGAATGGCATTAGCAGTGATGGGAGAGAAATCTGCTCCGGTGCGCCTGTCTATGCTGCACCCGAAGCTTCTGACAAGCTTAACTATGGAGTTGGCACCAGTGTTTTGGAGTACACACTTTTTCTGGAATGTGCCTCACTTTCTTGTAAGTGAGCCTAAGAATGCTGGCAGTATCAAGGAAGATACAAGAGTTGACAGATGGCGTTATAGGAAAAAGAAAAAGAAAAAAAAAAAAAAAACCTCAGAAACCCAAATATGAGGAATCTGGCAAGGATAGAGTATCACCACCCAAAATCAGAATTGTGTTTTAATGAAACTGGGGGTTTATTTTGCCTAGCTCGTGAACCTAGGAATTGTGGAATTATACCGTGGAAGTTAGACATCCTGTGTAAAGAATCATAAAGGAACCACACTTAACAAGGAGAACACACAAGTAGAAGAGCTAGCCTTGCACACGCATCAGTCTGTCTCTAGAGTAGGACCTGTGCAGAATTCTTTAAATCTGTTAAACTCCAAATAAAATTATAAGCATTTTCTTAGCTTTATTTCTAAAATAGGCAAAGAACCTACAATTATGTTTCAAAACAAAACACTAAAGTGACCTTGCAAAATTTCTCCCATTAACATTGGCATTAAATGGACTCAGTATGTTTTATCCTGTGTGTGTGTGTGTGTGTGTGTGTGTGTGTGTGTGTGTGTGTGTGTGTGTGGGTGTGTGTACATGCAACAATTATAATTAAAGAAGTCATGAACTTGAGAGAGAGAGAGTGGGGAGGACATGGGAGATATTGGAGGGAGGACAGGGACCGGAAAAATGATATAAATACAATACTCAGATTGAAATTCTCAAAATTGATTGAAAATACTAATGAAAACAACACATGATATTTTTAAACATCAAACTTACTAAAAATAAAAAAGCTACACCAAGTTATTAGTATTTTGAGAAATTTTCATATTGGTATAGTTTGAGCTATGGAAAGTCATTTTAATGATCTGAACAAATTCTACATAATTGTCATGTTTTAAAGAAATAGAAAACAAACAAACAAATTATTCCTTCTTTTTTCTTCTTTTTTTTCTTTTGAGACAGGGTGTCACTATTTGCCCCAGCTCACTTAGAACTCACTACATAGACCAGGCTGTGAACACACAGAGACCCATTGTCTCTGCCTCCTGAATGCTGGAATTGAAGGCATGTGCCACCATTCCAGCTCACCTCCATCTCTGCATGTACATTTTGATCCTAATGATCATATAGACAATAAATAAATTATCAGCCTATCAGTCAACTCAACCTTCACAGACAACCCTAACAATTTCCTTTTTCAAAAGTATAAACACTAAAGTATCAGACAAGTGACAGGGACCTTTTAGAAACACAGCTGACTGTCTGCCGAACTGTTAGATTTATGACTCACCGTTACTCATTTCCTATAAGAATGATAACAGCCTGTAGTAAAAAAAAAAAAAAATAGGTGTGAAAAGACATTAAGAGAAATGAGAAAACACTTTATACTGGCAACTTTGACACCTTTCCAGAATTTTAAAGAAAGCTGTAAATAAACTCCCCACTTAGAAATCGTGCTCACTCCATCCTGCTTGAAGGTGAATAATGGCAAAATCTGTGAACGGAAGCGTAATAAAGCAAGGTACAGAAACAACTCAAAAAGTTAAACAGTTTTTCACCTTGATTTTACCCTAAAGGACAGCAGGGGGAAAACACAAGCTAGTCTCTAAATTTTAGACAAGCAGTCAACTAACTGATGGATTCAGATAGAATTAAAATGTTTTCAATCAAGTAAGTTAGAATTTACATAATGCACACTCTCTGTTCCCACATAGTACTGCAAGTGAACGGTACCACTGCCCACCTGCACCAAGAAGCTGAACTCACCTCCAGCCCCAACTTTCTTCTACATCATTAGCACATCTTCCTCACAAAGCACCTGTAATGCTTAGCGTTGTCTACCTGACACAACCTAGAATCTTTTGGAAAGAGTCTCAATAAGAGACTGTCTACAGGGTTGACATATGGCCATGTCTGGGGTGGGGGTTGTCTCAGTTAAGTTCATTGATGTGGAAAGAGCCAGCTCACTGTGGGTGGCACCATTCCCTATACAAGGGCCCTGAACTGTATGAGTGGAGAAATTGAGCTGAGGGCAAGCAAGCAAGCAAGCAACCAAGCCAAGAATGGATGCACACATTCCTCTCTACTCTTGCCTATGGGTGTGACTAACTGCTTCTCAACTTTCTCACAATCATGGACTGTAACAGGGAAGTGTGAGCCAAAATAAATTCTTTCTCTCCTGAGTCGCTTTTTTTGTCACAGTATTTTATCACAGCCACAGAAATGGAACTAGAACAGCACCCACCTATACTCCGAGCATCTCTTCCCTGGACCTCTAACATTAACTGAGGCTTCTTCATTCAAAATCATCCAGGTTCTTTTGAAGCCAGTCTAGACTTTCCTACTCTAGCACTGGGGCAGTTATCTGAATCTAATGACACTATATACCTGCAAATATTCCACTGCTTATATTCATCTCCAGTTTGGCTTTGCACAGCTGGTATTTGTCAACCTGACGTTCATTCCTTCCCAAACTTACTTCAGCACCAAACACATTCTGGTCACACCAGTCTCCACGCTATGTCCTAAACAGCTTACAGCTTACCTTGGTTTTGATCATTCTGATTTTTTTCCTGCCTGTTTTCTTTTCACGTTGTCTTCTGGCATTCTCCTCATAATCCTTAAGGGAGCAGAGAAGTGGCATTTTTCAGTTGCCTAGCCACAAGTGCCAACCTGGAACAAAAGCTGGTTTACAAGAAGGGCATGGGAAGCTGTCAAAGCTTAGGCTAAAACTGGTATACATCGATTCCATTACAAGTCGTTATTTGAAAGCAGTCACATGGCTGGGCCTAGCTTCAAATCAGGCTGGCAAAAGCAATGTTCATGAAAAGAAGGAAAACTGGACTTGGGTGGACACTCAGTAATTTCTACAATAGACTGTTTAAATAAAGACTCGGCAGAAGATAGCAATTTGTTTACCTTGATTTGAGCACTACACAGTTTATGCGTGCATTAAAAACATCACATGATATTTTAAAAACACACACAATTTCCTATGCATGTTGTGGGTACATGTGTGTATGCATGTATATGCACATGTATATGGAGGTCAAAGGACAGCCCTCAGGTGTCATCGTCAGAAATGCCATCAGGAGTGGTTCTCTCACTGGCCTGGAGTTCATCAGTTAGGCTGGACTGGATGGTCCAGTGAGCCCCAGGGATCCTCCTGCCTCTGCCTCTCCAGCACTAGGATTACCAGCAGGTGCCATCACACCTGACATTTTTATGTGGTAACTGAGGACTGAACTCAGTCAGGCCTCATAGTTGCAAGTCAAACACTTTACTTAGTCATGCTTCCAGCTCCAGATGTGTACAATTGTATGCACCAATTAAAATAAGTAAACAAAAATAATTATAATATCAGCAAGAATACAAATGTGTAAGAAAAAGAAGCAAAAAGCTTGTGCTTGCCATAAACACTCACTGGAAGCTAAACTGAAGCTATCATAAAAATGCCAAAAATGGGTAGTGAGTCTTTAATTGTCTAGATGTCCCAGGAATAATCATGTTTATCTTCTATATGTTTCATATAATCACTGTATTTATTAAGTTACTTTAAACCATTCTTTTTAATATATAATGTTATAGAGTATATTATAGTATTGACATTACAAGATGCCATATAAACAAATCTACAGACCAATATTACTTGTGAAACATCTACAAAATATTCCTATAAATACCAGTAAGGAGAATATACAGAATACTATAAAAAAAATGCATCATTGTAGCTATAAATAGAGTTTACTCAAAGAACATAAAGATGTTAAACACTAGGAATTCCATGATAAAAATCAGTATAGTGGGGCCTGTGAGATAGATGGTCTAATAGATAAGAGACTTGCCATTGAGCCTGATGGCCCGAGTTCAATCCCCAGGATCCACACACTAGAAGGAGACGCACAGAAAACATGCTTGACGTTCATACTACAACCTCTGACAACTATGTAAGCCTCTCCTCCTCCCAGTGACAACCTCATCAACTCAGTTAAAATAAACTGAATGCCATATCTAAAGGGAATAAAAGCTACCCTCAGTAAAGGAATCACAAAAGGAACAGATGATAATTTTCTGCCCCAAAGGGCTATGCTGGACAGTTTTATGTCAACTTAACACAAACCAGAGTAATTTTGAAAGAGAGAACCTCAATTGAGAAAATGACCCCAGCAGATTAGCCTGGAGACAAATCTGTGGTACATTTTCTTGATTAATGATTGATGTGAGAGGGCCCAACTCACAGTGGGTGATACCATCCCAAAGCAGGTATCACCTGGGGTGTATTAAAACAAACAAACAAACAAAAAACCAGCTGACCAAGCATGAGGAGTAAGCCAGTAAGCAGTGTTTCTCTATGACCCTTGCTTCAGTTCCTGCCTCAAGGTTCCTGCCTTGAGTTCCTGCCCTAGATTCCTTTCATGATGGACTATAAGAGCAAGATAAAATAAATCCTTTTCTTGACAACTTATTTTTGGTCACAGTGCTTTATCACAGCAATGGAAACCACAACTAAGACAACAACCTTGCGGGGAGGGGAGTGGCATCTGATCTAGGAATAACTGCTTAAGGAAATATTAGAGAAGCTAAGGCTTCCTGACAGTGCAGTGACCCTTGGGGTGAAAATCGTGCATTGGAGCCCACCCCTCCAGCAGCAGAGAGGGCCTCCACTCAGCACATCTGTCATCTTCAGCACCTGCCTAAGGAGCTGTAGTCAGGGAATCTCCCTGTCAGGCTTCCTGGCAAGCCTCCATGAAGGTTGCTCTTGGCGACTCCATCTGCCAGAAGATGGAAAGTGTGTCTCACTGACAGGCATGCCTTGACTCTGCCCGGGAGGACAGGTGAAAGTGTTAAGGATGACCTGGTATAAAGCTTGAGTGGCATGGCAAAGCTGGGGGTTGCTGAGAAACAGGCGGCAGCAGACAGATCCTCTCAGTGGGAAGCTATTGGAGTGCAGGCAGCTGGGTTTGGAGCGAAGGAATCCATCTAAGTGAGGTGGAGGCAGCATTGCTAATGCCAGCAGGCTTTGCTCAAGAGGCAGCACACCAAATAATCAGAGAGGAGCCCTGTGTGGGTACAAGGGGGAAGGGTCACAGCTCCCAAATTGATCCTTACCAATCTTCGCCCACTCCACCCCAGAGCTCAGGTCCAATCAACTAGTGCCAGCAAGGTGCGGGGAGGGGGGGGGGGGATGCACAAAGAACCCCTACTAGCCCTTCAGAGTCACAGGAAAGGCTTTACGCACAGTCTGAGCCTTCTCGAAGAGGAAACCAGCCTGGAAACTTCCTCCATGGCACCAACAACAACAGTTTTACCCCAGGTTTACCTTTTTCTAGTGCTGGTACCACAGATCAACCAAGGGTTTTAAAAAGACCCACTATGGGCCCCACACAGTGTTGGTTCCTAATAAGACATCAGAAGAGCCTTTCAAAAACATCTCATCACTAAAAGCAATTCAAGGCACATTTAATGCTGGAGGAGTGAGATTACACACGGAAGTGTGGCGTGGTGATGATTTCAGGGAACAGCAGTACAGAGAAATCCAAACAAAGAAGTGGGATGTGGGCCTTGGAGGGAGGAGGGGAGAGGAGGCCAGGCAGGCAACGGGGAAAAGGAAGAACACTGTGGGTGGGAAGAACAGAATGAGTGGGGGCTCAAACATGGAGGAGAGCTGGCATGAAATGAAGGTCACAGCATCTGGTGAGGATTCACGGACCTCTTCCTACTGGGAAGATATTTGATGCTGATCCTGGTGCTGCGGGTTCTCTTTAAGCTGCCAGTCTTTTGCACCAGGTCAACACCAGCTCACTACATAGTATGTGAACATTTCAGGGTGACCTAGGTCATCTTCTTATCTCACACACTCAGCAAGGGTGACCTACAATATCAAAGCTGGTTAGAATGCTAATGGGGTTTCCAGACAACCTCACTCGTGAAGCTTTTCTCTTAGCCATCTTTCTCCATATTTAAACCTTAGGAACTTTTTCTCCCCAGTGTGATTATTTTACCAAAGACCATGCTCCATGAGAACAGCATCTATAAACTTTGTCAACCATAGAGTATGTATTAAACATCAACCGTGAATGAGGCATTTGGGTGCTATGATAAATAACATTAAAAATCAGGGGAAAAATCATAAAAGTCGGGGAAAACATGTTTATTTTAGTACTAAAATAGCAAATGTATTAAATAACTTCTAGGTATCATATACTAGGATAGGGTTTGTGAATCCTCACATCCAAAAGAAGATATGAGAAGAGGTAAAAACACATAGAAAACACATTGCACTCCAGACTGTGAAGAAAAATGACACTTGTGAGCTCTGAGGATTAGAAATATCAGATAAGACCATTAATCCAGCTTAGGTTTGTGGCAAGGGACAGTCAGATATCAAGGACTATTGATGAAGGCACTCATATTGGAATTCTGTCTTAAAAGTGTGAAAAACCGTCCTGGCTAGTTTTATGTCAACTTGACACAAGCTAGAGTCATCTGAGAGGAGGGAACCTCAACTGAGGAAATACCTCCATAAGATCTAGCTACAGAGCCCAGGCCCTACTAGACCACAATGCCAGACCTGCCACTGGCTGACCAACTCAGCTGGGCCCAGATCCAGCACTGTGAGTATTTGAGCTGTGGAGCATTAGAAGGAGCCAGTCCTGCAGAACCAGAGCTACAGGCTCACCATCACTCTGGCAACAGCAGGATATCCAAGACCAATTTCAGTGATGGTCCAGTACTTGTGCTTCAGAAACCAGAAACCTTGATCCAGAGCAGCTGCTCATGGCAATGAAAATTTGCATGCAAAACTGTCTGGGCAAAATAATAACAATAATGATAATAATAATAATAATAATAATAATAATAATAATAATAATAATAGTTGTTATAATAATAGTTGATAGTAGTAGTATATACTGTGTGACACATCACCATGATGATGTCTGGGTCTGTGCAGCTACCAAGGGCCACGTCTAGGACCGTGGTCCTACTTCATCCAGGATCTGTGTTGATGTTCATGGCCATTGTTACCACCAAAAGCCATTTGGATGTCCGTGGTCTGTGCTGCCACCTGAAGCCATGTTGATGTCCACGGGCCATCCTGCCACTGGGGGCCATGCTGATGTGAGTGGCCTGTATTGTCACCTGAGGCCATGATGATGACTGGGTCTGTGCTGCCAAACAAGAGCCATGTCTGAGTCCAGGTTCCTACTGTGGCAGAGGGCCGTGTTGATGTCTGTGGCCTGTACTGTCACCAGAGGCCATGCTGAGGTCTGTGCTGTCTCCAGAAACCATGTCTAAGTCCATGGTCCGTGCTCCTGCTGACTGGAAAGGGCAAGAAAGCTACTACTGCTGTGGTATCGATGACTGCAGACTCACAGTTGGGAAAGAGGGACCTAGAAGGCTGCTGTGACAACCCCTAAATCCACCCCCAACCCCAAAAAGTATCAGCCTAGACAGAAAGCCACTTAAGAGAACTCTTTAAAATTGTAATAAGCATGCTGAAGTACAGCTCTTCACAGTTGATGCTTCTGGCTCGGGTAGAGGCAGGGAAAGAGGGAAGGAGTCAATTTTCTTTTCTTTTCTTTTCTTTTTTTCTTTTTTGGTTTTTGAGACAGGGTTTGTCTGTAGCCCTGGCTGTCCTGGAACTCACTCTGTAGACCAGTCTGGCCTCAAAC